TTTTTTTTTTGGGTATGTTCCAGATGAAGTTCATTGTTTGATGTTTTTTTATCTTTTCCATCACTTTCGTTGTAGTATCCTATTTCTATTTTGCGTTTAAATTTGCTTCTACTGATTACAGAAGCGTATATTGGACTACACAAAGTATGAAATGTTGAACAAGGCCTTAGAGGCTTTTGAAGACCTCGGGGATGATGAGGAACTTGGACCTGCTGACTGGCCTACAGTAAAGAGATACATTGCAAGCTTGAACAATTTGGAGGGGGACCGTGTGCATCCTCATATTGCATTGGACCCTACAAATCTGAAGGATATAAGAATACGGCTTTTAAATGGTAAATAGCTCACTTGTTTTTCCTCTTGCTACTCAATTTTCTACTATTCATGTAATGATTGTCAGTGCAAGAGTGCTTCCTGTATTTCTGCTCAATTTTAATCATTGATGCATTGATCCTCTGGGAGCTGGATTTCTATGCAAAGAGCAAGAACCTAAATCCTGCCCGCTTTTCCCTCTGTCATCTTCATCTTTTTCTTTATGACACAGGCTTTTATAGGTTCTTTGTGGATGAGATGTCATGGATTGGTATAATGGTTCTAATATAGCAAGTAGGAAGACCTTGTTTTCTAAATATCAAATGGTGCTTTCACTTACGATGTGTTTCACCAATCAGTTTCATTCCTTAACTCCCTGCTAAAATTACTTTTTTATTTAAAAAATTCTGGGATCACACATTGTCTTCTCCGGGGATCTCTCTGATCACTCTATTGTGAGAATTATGGTGCAACTGGCTACTCCTTTTATTGCATTTAAGTTTGTCCTGGAATGGCAAACCCTTCTAGCATGCTCTTGAATATTAAAATGAGATTCAAGTCAAATTGTTGCTTAATAGTTGTGCTGTAGAATGCTATTTACTCTCTTTAGAAGTGACTCTCCTAGCTAATTTTAGGGCTGAAAATTCTTCAAACAGGTGTTCAGTCAGCTTACTGGGGGATGCTTGATGAAGGGAGAATCACACAGAGTACTGCAAATCTTTTGATGCAATCTGTGGATGAAGCTATTGATGCTGCATCTGATGAACCTTTATGTGATTGGAAGGGCTTAAAATCTAATGTTCATTTCCCAAATTATTACAAGTTTATCCAGACAAGCATGTTCCCACAAAAATTAGTTACATATTTCACTGTGGAAAGGCTGGAATCTGCATGCTGTGTTTGTGCTGCATTTCTTCGAGCTCACAGAATTGCACGGCGGCAACTTCATGACTTTATAGGTAATAATCTTCCTGTGGCATAGCCTATTGGCTTTCTTCTAAATGTTCTCACAAAGTTCTTTTCCTCTATTTAGTTTACTTGAATTTTCAACTCTGTGCACTTATGCATTACTTTTAAAAATATAGACTTCCAACTGCAAATTATTTTAATTTTTTAGCTGAGAAACTATGTCAAACTTTAGGACATATTGCATGCAACATATAAACGTCACAAGCATTTTCACCACCTGATTCTAGTGGCTTTTATTTCTTCCTGAGGATGTTAATGGACATTTTTCTTCTTTTCTTTGTAAATCACTTCTTTACAAGGCCTTTATGTGTAAGTCCTTACAATTTGACAGGGGGTGCATTCAAAAGTTAGAAGGGTTGTCGTTCTTTTAGAATTCATTACATGTTCAGTTTTTGGAATCTTAATGTAGGGAATTTATGTGATATCTGAAGTTGTCTCATGTAAGGTTCTGTAGCAGGATGTTACAGATTTAAGTTTGGGGAATTTCCCAACTTTGACTTTCCTTCAAAAACACTACACATTATGGGGGCTTTGTTAAGCATTTATACTCTGATGACTTTGTCTTACTACAGAGAATGGATAGATGCATGAAAAATTATTATACTTAAGTATTAGGTTCAAAAGGATTTTCATTGTGAATCAACATTCTCTCAATAATAAGGATTCCTTAAATAAGGAGATAGTGCATTTTCCAGTATGTTTCTCTGGTTATCCAACAAACAAAAGATCTGTTTTCAGTTCAATAAATTCTTATTTTTGGCATACCTCTAAAGTTGCTGGAGAAAATTATGGTAACTATTTAGTGTGCTTGACTCTGATTCTGAAACCCAAATTTTTAGCCCAAAACCTGTCCTTAACCATTTAACATGGATATTTGCTATCTAAATATTTTACATCCAGTATGTTAACATTTAAGGTTTCTATTTCTGACCTTATGAAGAATCAATGACTTTGGAGAATGAGACAATACCATTAAAATGATTTCTGAATCTAGGGCAGCCTGAGTTAGCAATAAGTAAGGGAAATAGCAATCCATCTCTAAAAATGAATATGCACTTGCACAAAAGGAATGAAGAGCAAAGCTAATGAATGGAACTGGTGAAAGGTTTGATTCAAGATGGATCTCCTATCTGGGTGCTGAGAGAGGACCTGGTGGTGAGAAAGCACATAGCATGACTGCATGACATAATACACTGTGTGATGCTTCTTGACAGAGCTGAATTGTGAAAGAAAATTTATGTTGTAAACTTTAGCTCTCTGTTTCGTTGAAAGAAAGACAAAAAATGAGGGTAAGCTATGAAAAAAATAGACCATGAAAGCATTTCCATCGAAATACACTTAAAATCAGAGGAAGGAAACTACAATTGGTGAAAGTAATATTTTATTTTTTCTAACAGCCTTCATTAACCAACCCTCCTCCAGTTATTTCTCTATGTAAACTTTTTGCACTGAAATGATCAGCTCATTAAACATTTCATATTTTGAGAAATAAAGTGAAAGCCGAAAGGAAAAAAAAATCTTTTTGTGAATGTTAGGTTTTTCAAGGAATATGAGGATTTGCTTGCCTTGCCTTTTCCTCCTTTGGGAAATGGCCATGAAAAATCAATGGATCTAGTGATGAGGAACACATTTTATCAATGAACTTATACAAGAATAGAAAGAAAGACAGTTTACTTGTACTATCCGGTCCTTCTGATAATCAAATGGGACATATGGAAAAAGAAGGAAATGGCTACCTTGGGGTTCAATGCATGGAGAGTAAAAATGCATTTCCTATTTCTTTCTGTGTGTGTGTGTTCTTGCATGCACTTGCACCTGTGCATGACATCAAAGAGGGAGACAGGTCTGCTATTGGGGCACAGTTCTTTTACTTTCAACTGCTGTTTTTGAATTGTTTTTTCTTGCTCTCGTTTTTTATGTTTCCTAGATTTGGATACTTTTCTTTGCTATGAGAAACCTGGGTACTTGGAGGGTGGGATACAGGTGTTATGTTTTTAGCAAGCAGCACTGCACGAAAAAAAACCTATATCTATGAAAGAATATCTTTCTCTAATCAGCTTCATTTCTATATTCTCAATTTGATCACTAGAGTAACTCAATTTCTTAAAACAATGTATTTATTTCTTAACATTTACTTCTCTGTCTAGGTGACAGTCCTATTGCTTCTGTTGTAATTACTGAAAGTGAGGCTGAAGGCGAAGAGGCAAGAAAGTTCTTGGAAGATGTCCATATAACTTTCCCTCAGGTTTGTCAACCATGTCCAATTGTATTTACCCCATTCCATTTCTTGTCTCAATCTTCCGCATTCTTTTTCTTAATAAGAGAATTTTGAGATTAGTGAGAGGACTATATTATTGTGCAGTCTCTACTATAGCCATATTAAGCTGCACTGAAAACATGTTCAGGTTTTGCGTGTTGTTAAAACAAGACAAGTGACATACTCGGTACTAAACCACTTGATTGATTATATACAAAACCTTGAGAAGGTTGGGTTACTGGAGGAAAAAGAGATGCTTCATCTTCATGATGCTGTCCAGGTAGCTTTTGGTGATCTTTGTCAAATTGGATGATTAAGGTGGTTTGTTCCCTTGATATTGTTATTACACTAATAATAATATTTTTTTCCTTTGCATTCCGCAGACTGACTTGAAGAAGCTTTTAAGGAATCCTCCCTTAGTGAAGATTCCAAAAATAACTGATCTAATAAGTGTCCATCCTTTATTAGGGGCCCTTCCTTCTACTGCCCGCAAGCCACTAGAAGCTTCTACGAAAGAAACAATGAAAACACGTGGTGTGACACTTTACAAAGAGGGCTCCAAACCAAAGGGTATTTGGCTTATATCAAATGGAGTTGTCAAGGTGCCTAAAATTTACATATGCAAGTCAGAGCTTGTTTTAGTTCTTCTTAAATGCAACTTAGTTTTTTTCCTCGGAAACGTGTCATGAGTTTGAATTGGTCATTTGGCAGTGGACCAGTAAAACCATAAGGAACAAGCACTCACTGCATCCTACCTTTACTCATGGGAGTACATTGGGCTTGTATGAAGTATTAATTGGAAAGCCACACATGTGTGACATGATAACAGATTCTGTGGTTCTCTGTTTTTTTATTGAAAGTGACAGAATACTTTCATTGCTAAGGTCAGATCCTGCAGTAGAAGATTTTTTGTGGCAGGTAAAATTATTGCTAATAATTTGGCTATTTAACTCTGGTAATTATAGCCTACAACTGTGAAGTTGTCAGGGTACAAAGGCTTTGGGACCTTATATGTATCCTAACTTATCACTGCTTGGCCTAACTATTCAAGTAAGCCTTAAACTTAAGTAGTTGGGTTGGCAACATCAGTTCTTTTTCTCCAAGCTACTAGCTCTTCTGAGGTAGCTAGATGTCAGATTTTCTTCATTTATTGGTGTCATTTGTAACTTCAACTGTCTTCTATAGTTGGTTTAATCCAATCTCTGTTCTCTGTACTTTTCCTTCCCCCTCCCAGGAAAGTGCTATTGTCCTTGCCAAACTCATGGTTCCTCAAATATTTGAGAAAATGGGACTGCAAGATTTGAGAGCTCTTATAGCAGAAAGGTCAATGATGACAATATATATTAGAGGGGAAACGATAGAAGTTCCTCACCAATCCATTGGCTTCTTGTTGGAAGGATTCATAAAACCTTTCAGTGTTCAAGATGAACTCATCACATCACCTGCAGTTCTTTTGCCGTCACATGGGAATCAAAGTTTCCAAAATGCAGATACATCAGGTAACTTCATCTTCCTTATTATTGAATTATATTTCCTTTCAATCCTTTCCTCTCTTTTTTTTTTTTTTGCTTTCTGCCCTTTTCCCTCCTAGCCATGATTATTAGTATTTGCTATGGCCTGAAATGACTTATGTACCCTATCAGCTTTATAATGCTTCAACCCACTTTGGTGATAAAATTAAGCTGGCATCGTCCTATTGGAGACATTAACTACACCCCTTGGCCTATACATTCCTCTCCTCTGTCTCTTGCTTCCAAGTTTTGACTTCACACTTCCTATCATCCTACTGATTTTACTTCCCACCCTACCAGAGCATTCTGCACTTCAAGGTGTGTTCCAATCCTCCCCTGTAGCACTCCTCCATTCTACTTCACTCATTTGCAATGTAACCTCATCCCACATTCCTACTTGTTTTCCAAGCAAGCAGTAAGACATGAGACCAACCTGTTCTATAGCCAAAGTCGACACTACCTATAGAAATAAAATTCATGCCTAAAAAAAATTTGACACCCAAATGTTATCCAGGCAGTGCACCTAAATTCATCTTCTTGGAACTCTTTAAGAAACATTTTCTTATCTAGAATTTGTGTAGGAATCCTGTTATCACTCATGAACTTCTGAACTGATACTTCAGTTAAGTCTGGTAGGAATATTCTTGTCTATCTAGCTAATGCCTGAGTCTCCATATTCTTGCATTTACTGTCACTGGACCAGCTATTCTAGTTTTTACTTCTTACTCTTTACCTATGATACACATTAAAAGGGGAAAATGAGGATGGCAGCATTGGTTTTTTCTACGAAACTTCAACTTCTACTTAAAGGTTCAATAGAAGAACTGTAATATAATATTTTGAATGCCTGACCCTTGCCGTTGCTGACACATTTCACTGGCTTATCTTTACTTCATGATAATTCCAATCAAGATCTATGCAAAAAATCATAAAACTAGGATAAGTTTTTGTTAAACAGAAACAGATTTGGTATTGGTCACAATTTGAAAGACATCTCTCACTTTGTATTGATGTATTTTTAAGTAAGTGTTAATTCTCATAATCAATTGTTATATAAAAGATGCTGAAAATGTTAGTGGACGATTGTTAGAGAATATTTTTGCTGATCATTGGAAGTTTAAAAGATTAGTGCCTACCAACTTTAGTTATAGTTAGTTCTCAAAGGCTTTTGGTCCGCTGTTCCATAGAGCATATTTGGGATTGTGAGGAATATTAATTATCATTTTTCTAGGTTAATTTGGCAGCTTTTTATGAAAACAGTTGATGAATTAATAACAAACTTGTAATAAAATATTAGAAACTGGTATAATGAGCTATGGCAACTACAGATTCTAAAATTTAAGAGATCCATTTTGAGTTTTTTGATAAAATAATGAACTGCACAGAGATTTGATTCTGGAGAAATGGAAGTATGCTGTTGACTTGTGCTTAAAAATATGGCCTAAGTTGAATCATCTAATTCACCTTTAACATGTACTAGATTTAGTGATGGAAATTGTAATTAGATTCACAACTAATAACCCCCGCTGTGAAATTAATAGGGCCAAATGGAACTTAATTGCAGTTTCATAAATTTAAGTATTCTATACTCCTTTTTGCAGTGAAGAATATCAAGTATGACTAGTGATGTTTAATGAAACCAGGTAACACAACAGCTAGTTTTTCTCATCAGCAATCCTGGAATCAATTTGAGACAAAAGGGAGCATAATTTATCAAGCTGAGACAAGAGCAAGAGTAATCATTTTTGATATTGCAATGCTCGAAGCTGATACTGTTCTGCAGAGAAGTTCATCCTCATTTAACCATTCCCATAGAACTTTAAGCAGAGAACATGGAGGTCTTATGAGTTGGCCAGAACATTTCTACAAGGCAAAACAACATGCACAAAATCATGGAGCAACTGATCAACAAGCAAACAGCATGTCTGCTAGAGCAATGCAGCTAAGCATCTTTGGCAGCATGGTATGTCAAGTGGATGAATTGATCGCTCCTAAGTCAACATGCACCCTTATCTTTAAAGTGAATTGTATACCCGCAGGCAGAAGTCAATTTCCTCTTTTTCTTATTTTATCAGTTATGTTTATAGTATCATGGAGTCCGTTCAGTTGACACTAAGTGACTGCCACTGAGTGATACTTTAGTTGCTGAAAATATCCATTTGCACTTTTTCTTGTGTGTTTTTTGTTTTCTTTTTAATCTTTTTATTTCATTTACTCCACCTCTTTTTTTATATATATATTTGGTTGGGGGAGGTGTCAGAAATTCTTCATACCTTTCATTTCTTGAAAATAGTCCTAATATAGGCCTTGATTTTTTATCTAACTGCCTTTTTGTTGTTTCACTGACAAGGTTGATGTGCGACGGCGCAGCCGAAGTTTATCAAGGATGAATCTATTTAAGCCAGCACACAGCCTGTCATATCCAAGAGTTCCTTCATATCCTGGCCATCCGCTTGTCTCTGTCAGATCGGAAGGGGCTGCAACTCTAAGGAAGAACCTTGAAGCAAGAAAGTTTACAGGACAGATTCCCCCACCAAAACTGAAGGATTCCCACACAAAAGAGGGTCATGTAGATGACGATTCTAGTGATGAATCTGGTGCTGAGGAAGAAATCCTGGTAAGGATTGATTCACCTAGCAGCCTCTCTTTCCGCCAGGCTTCTTGAAGGTTTTTCTATGTCCCAATAATCAGGGTTGTGATTTCTTTCTGTACTGTTGTATCATTATAGATCCTGTTGAGTGTCTTTATGAGTTATATAATAAGATATATGCCATCTGACTTGAGCTAGTATCTTTAGTTTTCTTATGAATGAAAGCTTGATTCAATTTATCTCACCACTTTGTTCCTCCGTTGAACTTTAGTAGTCAATGAACTCTTTTTTCTTTTCATTTTCTGAATCAGAGGAGGGGAAAGGGAAGGGGTGGGGGGTTTGCCTTATGGAATGACCTCTTTCTGGGCCCTGGAATTAAGTTCGAAGCTAAGTGGAGTATGGAAATATTGCATTTTGAACCAAACATTGTTCGATTGTTCTTTTCCAGAGCATAGGTGAATTGGAAGATATAGCTGTGTGTTTGCTGTCATCTCCTTTTTCAGAAAACTTCTGAGTCATAAAAAGGAAGGTGATTTCTTTCATAGTCACTAGTTTTGAATACAGTGGGTAGTTTGAAACAAAGGTTAGTATAAACCAGTAACTGGACTAAACTTTTCCATATGGAAGTTGCATACTTTATAGGGGAATGAATGAAATTGCAATAATGTTCTAACCTCCCAGTGCTGTTTTAACTAGAAGTGCATCTTTTATGCCAACAATGGCCGATTCCTTGTAGTCTTGGAAAGCAAAATGCTGAATGAAACCTTTCGAAATGCTGCCATGCCATGAACATTCATGAATAAAAGGAGCTGGTTTCTTCAACTTCCTGTAAGATTCTTGTAACTGAAGTATAATTACTAGCATGAAATAACCAGTGTAAATTGGGAAATGATCAAACCATGATCTGGTATGGCTTGTTCAAAGCTTCTTTAACTTATGCAGTAGTTTTTTTCTATTTGATGTGGCTGTTACAATCAACTCTTCAAGCCTCATAAAACATCCCAACCTCAAGACGCTGTGGTAGAGGCACGCCAAGAGCAGGCAGTGCAGACCTACAATTATTGTGCAACACTTCATAAAAGGCAAGCATGGATCTGTCAAACAAGCTGCTATTCTTGCCTATGTGAAACCTAGCCTTCCCTCGAATATGAATTACGCCAGCCAGTTTTGCCTCTCTCAATTCTGAGATCTCCTCTTGAATCTGTGAAGGATCAGAATCTAAACAACTAGAGCAGTTTTCTATGTGAACTCGCAAGCTATCAGTAACTTGACTAACAAAGTCATCTCCTTCAAGATTTAGGGAATCAGCATAGCCATACTGAATCACACACGCATAAACTCCTTTAAGGCTTAACTGTTTTACCACAATCCTCTCTTGTGGAGCAACCTTAGGAACCAGAATATATCTAAGGGTTGTAAAAATAGTGACCTTGTGAAGAGATCTCATGTTTTTCACATAATGTCCGAGGATGGGTGTCAATCCATTTTGTATATTCGTGTAAAAAAAGCACAATCCTGGAACCCTTCGCACGCTTGGGTCTGATAATAGCACTCCAAGTCTTTCCATGTCAATCCTGTGAGTGAGTTCGTACTCTATCTTCCTCTGTCTCCCATAGTACCAACCAAACATAATGAAGGCAAGAATAAAAGATATGGCAAATGGAATCCATCCACCTTCAGGAATTTTGGTCAAAACCGCACTGACATAGATGCCTTCCATTGTAAAAAAAATGAAGAAGTACATAGCAACCTGCCATGGTGGCGTTCTCCATATAATGATCATGACCAGTGTCAGCAATATGGTAGTGATGAGCATGACTAGACTAACAACCACACCTGAAAGAAAGATCTTCTAAATTTGTATGATTCTTGATAGTTAAATGTACAAATAGTTAAGTGTTTGAACTCAAAGAATAATAATAATATCAAGATGACACTAGAAACACCATTGCTGGTGAAAATAACTACAAAGCTTAAGTTTAATTAGCCATTAGCCACTATTCTTCAACATGATACGGTAATGCTGAGATGAGATATTATTCAGCACCAGAAAATTGTTTAATTAACCAGCAAACAGCACGAGATTTGTTAAAATTTTAAGCAATTAAAAGTAGCTGTTAAATGCAATCAAAAGCGAAATGGTGAGGGGTTCTTTTTACCATACCAAAAGCATTGCCAATATCTTGTCCATCTCCAAATATAAGTATAACTCCAACACAGAAAACCATAAGGATGTAATTTACTTCTGGAGAGTAGACTTCTCCCTCTTTGTTGGATGATGTGTGTACCACCTTGACCCGAGGAAAGTAACCCAGTACAACAGATTGCTTGATGACTGAAAAGGTGGCTGATATAAGTGACTGGCTTGCCACAGTTGCAGCTGATGTGGCTATGATAAAGATTGGCCAGTAAACTATTTTTGGTATAGACTTGTAAAATGCATCCTTATGATCGTTGGGATTCTTGATCAGATATGCTGTTTCTCCCGCATATGTCAGAACCAGTGATGGATATATTGTACACAAGAAAGCTATCTGTAAGAAAGGAGTGAGGAGGCCATTTTAGGCACAGAGAAGGAAGCCTAAGGGGTGGTACAAGTTATATGTAATTACCTGAATGGAACTTCTGTTAAAATGACCCAGGTCTGCAAACAATGCTTCAGAACCTACATAATATTTTTAACCAGATAAAAGGCTATGGAAATCAGTTTTATGTTTGACAAGGAAACAAAATCTTAAATGACACAAATTAATGTCTGTGCTTCCTGATCCATCAAATTTGCAGTCAAAAAGCTGATGATGCAAAGTGATTCCCGCACGTATAATCAACTGAAGGATTTATCCGAGCGCTGTAACTGATGCAATTCGTTTTCTACCATCAAATTTTAGTCTCTACTCATGTATATGCACTTGTCATCCTATTCATTTGTACTGAGTTAAAATGGATGTAACTGGTGTCACCTACTGGACAAATGGAAGCCTTCACATGTTCCAGGAAGGAGCCAGGATGAAATCATGAATGCAACTTATCACATGTTATGATCGTAAACCAGCTCATCAAATCATCATTCACATCTAGTTGCTCACAAATGTTTCTGCAGCAATATTTATTCCTTCTCATCCTTCTTTAAATTTCCTTCAAATCTACTAGGTTATAACCATAATATACAATTTGCAGGTAGTGGTTGGTATTTGTCATACTCAAAAGTGGTAATCTCATACATGTAAACCAAGATAGAAACAATCAAGTAACTTAGTTTACCAATGATGACATAAAACTTAATAATAGAGGATTACCTGTGATGCAGAGGATGGTACCGCCAAGCATCAGCCAGCCTTCTTTTCCATTTCTCCAAAAAAAACAGATAATATAATGTGGTGATAAAGCCTTGAATATGCTGGGGTAGTGATGTATAATGCTATAAATTCCAACAAGTGGAGTACTCAAGGTCCATGCGCCCATGATGGGTGAAAACAGAAAACTCACTCGAGAGGTGCCAAATTTCTGAAGCAGGAACAGAATAAAAAGAACTACTGCAGAAAGAGCTTCAACTAAAGCTGTAATTCACATATAAGCAACTTGTAAAGCTAAAGGAGGATAAATGCTCACATATTACTAAAATCATGACCTGCAATAAGATTATAGTCAATGAAGCTGTTATCTTGTATACATTATACTCATAAAACTTCCAAAGCTCTTGTTTAAGTTTCCCATATGATAGCTTCCCTCGTACCCCCCCAAAAAAAAACCAAAAAACATAAAAAGGAGGTAGTATCAAAAGTGAATCAAACCGATATGATAATCAGTTTCTGTTTCTTTTTATTTGTTTATTCATTTTGAATCTTAGCAGTTATTTATGGCATATTAGACTCTGGCAACACAAAGAACAGACTAATTGAGAGAACACCATACTAAGATGATAGCTTCTTATCACAGCCTACACCCAACAAGGGTGGGATTAAATGCTAAGTAGAAAGGCATCAATCCCAGAGTTTGAAAGCTTTAAATACTT